GAGACACAGACAGGCCCTCCCATGTGCGCAGCCACTGGAATTTATATCTGTACTCACTCAATTCTGGGGGGTTTCCCTCTTCCCTTTCTGACTTTCTAATTCTACGTTGTAAGAATATCTTCCTTAAGTTTGGGGAAAGTCCACCTTTGGTAGTTTTTACTCCCGGAAGTTAAAAACCTAGAAAACTCAAGGTCCCAGCTTCCTTTGCAGTGTGGGTATCAGATGGTGGCCCAGGCTCTGCACCCAACACACGTGGGAGACTCCAGTGGGTGCTGAGAGAAGCCCAAGAAGGACGTGTTGGGCAGAATCCTTTCTGAGGTGATTGAGGGAGACTGGAGTAGATTCCACACACACAAGCTTTCCTCAGGGGCATCCGGATGGTTCTGTGGCTTAAGGAATCAGTGTTATCAGTTATCAGTTTGACCCTGAGTTGTATTTGTTGTTGTAACATTTTCTTCCTTCCTTCCTTCCTTCCTTCCTTCCTTCCTTCCTTCCTTCCTTCCTTCCTTCCTTCTTCCTTTCTTTCTTTCCTTCAAAACAGCTATGAGCTGTCCAATATTATTTGGAGAAAAAAGTTATTATGCTTATTTGTTTTATTCTGTGTGTGTGTGCGTGCATACATTCTTGTGCACCTGTGTGTGCATGTGGGCTCATGTCACAGCATGCCTGTGGAGGCCAGAGGACAATTTGCAAGAGGAGTCATTTCTCCCTGTGTGGGTCCTAGGGATCAAACTCAGTCCCTCAGGCTTGACAGCAAGCTCCTTTACCCACAGAGTCACCTCACTGGCCCACAGTATAATTTTAAGATAATTTTTTTTCCCCGAGTAAAACCAATCAATCCACTTCAGTATTTTCAACTGAGAACTCTGCGTGGTACATCATTCACATGGCGGTGAGTACATGCTCATGAGGTGCAGTCACTTGAATACAGACTGCTGCTCCCCTCACAACACCCCAGAGGACCAGACCTGTCCCTGCTCCTGCACACCCCTGGCTTCTAAGTCTGATCCCCTTCCCTCCTCTGACAGAGCTGTGGCTCATTTTCCTGAACACACAAGCTTGTTCCCACTTCTCGGCCTTTGTCCCTGCTGTTGTTTTTTTCATCGAGAATGTTCCCTTTGGGTCCTCACATGATGGGCCTTTTGCTTGTTTTATTTACAGAACTCAATTGTTCAATTTAAACGACAACTTTACGGAAAACTCTTTTCCCACTGTGCAATCTAACATGGCTGACATCCCACAGAAGTCTGACTTTTTACTGATCATTTACCATTAGTTTTTCTTATCTATTTGCTCCCTGTATGCCCTTATTCTATGACCCCTAAAGTAAATAAGTGTCATGGGAGCACGCATTTTGTTTACAAATACCTTCTCTCAGGTTATTGCTCATCTTTCCATTTTTCTTAGTGTTGCTTTGAGAATCACGGACCTTTTAGTGTCATGGGGGATGTGACAGTTGCAAACTGTTTGCAACTTAGATTTCTTCATGATCCACCAGCTCTTCCCGCACCAGAAGCCTTCTTCTGCCCAGAAGTTTCTGGTGTGATCTCACACTGGGCCGCCATATCTTCAGGGTCATTTTCAGACAATCCCTCACTGACCTTCACCACAGTTCCCAAGACCGTTGACAAGTCCACTGCTTCCCACCAGCCCAAACTCTGGCTCCGGAGCTCCAGAGTGAGCTTCCTATGAGTAGACCCACCTCTGGGGGTCTGTGTGTGCTGGCACATCATCTCAGCCTTCATTTGGCTCGTCCCTCCCTTTCTGCCTGCTGGAAGTCCGAGAGCTCTCTGCAGCTGTTCCAGAAGCTGGCTGCTCTGGCTGGCAGATGAACAGAACAAAAGAATCGATGTGGTGTCTCCCCACATCTGCACAGCTCCAGAGCGCAGAGAGCAGATGCCCTTAGCACCAGGGGACTTTCAGGCTCAGGACAAGGGAAATGTACCCTGAAGGGGAATGTTTCCCTTCGAAGAGCTGACGGAGCCACTCAGCAATGGGCAAGGAACATCATGAAATGGAACATTAAGCTTTGATGAACTGCAAAGCCTCGGAGGTTTAAGCTGTGAGTCAACAGAGACCTTCTAATCTATATAAACACTCTGCACGCAAATTCCCACCCAGCTTGGGGCCTTATTTGGTTGGAGTTTCTGACTGTCTCTCACAGGAGACAGGGCTCTGAGGTAAGGCGAGCTGCTGTGGTTTTCTGGGTAGCTGCCTACAAGGAGCTCTCCTCAGGCCTTCCCCATCCTCGTGGGCATGGGTCAGTTCCCAAACTGAGGTCTTGTGGACACCGGTCCTCCTGGGTCTCCACTCCTAGCTTCTTTTCCCACTTTTGAGGTGTGGTCAGGGACTCTGAATAGCTCTGATCTGTCAATTTTCCTCTTTCTCCTAAAAGCTTTCCTCCCAGAGGCCAGCACTGGTTACACGGGCTGAGCGGGAGAGACATGAGCTGGAGTTTATTAGTGCCAAGTGAAAGCTGGTGGTTTCTGCAGGCATTACACTTCCATTAAGTCTCACCACACCCTGTGTGCGTGCGTGCGTGCGTGCGTGCGTGTGTGTGTGTGTGTGTGTGTGTGTGTGTGTGTGTGTGTTTAGCACCACTTTTGTTTAAGCATTCCCTTCACTTTGTGACTCTCTTTTCTGATCTCAGGGGTGGCATTTGGCACACATCCAGCTAATCAGGATGCTGGTGACGATTGTACGGCCCCTGCAGGCCAATCAGTAGAAACGGGACTCAGCCGGGGCCATTGAGAACTCCAGGGAAGGATGTGACAGCTTCAGTGTCCACCGGCAGCCATCTTTTGACCATGAGTGGAGCGCAAACTCTAGCATGGAATCAACAAATGAAAGAGAACCAAGTCCAGAGAGACAACACCAGATCCTGAGCTCGGCCTGTGGCCACCAAAACCAGGCCGCGCACGCTTGAGTCACGTGCCCTTGTAAAAATCACATTTTTTTTTGCTGGTGTCTGTTTGGGGCAGGCTTATTGCTGTGTGGAACTGAAAGGACATAATGCCCCTTCAGTGACCCCAGGGCCACTCTCAAACAATAGATTAATATGGGAGAGTGTCTAAAGCAGTGCCTGGCACAAAACGACGTAGTTCACAAAGTAAAACAGTTGGGCAGGGGTGAGGCTCAGTAGTGGAGGGCAAGGTGGGTTTCTGCCCCACAGGAAAGAAAGAGAATGGGGGAAGAAGAAAAGAAAATTAAAGAGAAAAGAATGGACAGGCTGTTGCTCGTGATGAAAACAATGACCATGATGTGTCCAAGGGTCTGTTAATGACCATTTTTTAATGAAATCATGTAAATTTTCCAGACTTGATCCCTGCTGGGATGCTGGCAATCAGGCAATCAGGGCACAGGCTTGCCCTGGGAGATCCAGCTGTATCCTCTAAAGTTACCGCCTCCATACCTATCGGGATGTCCCCATAGTCACCATTTCTGGGTCACTCAAAGAAGATTTGTGCTCTGGTTTCTTCACCATGGCCAGAGTTTGGAGGCCAGGATGAGGGAGTCACAGGGAAGGGCTTACCAGGCAGGCCTGGACTGCATGCCAGGCATAGAGGTGCAGGTGGGTGTGGGATGATGGTAAGAGGGATGGAGGAAGCCAGGCTTTAGGAGGGAAGAGCATCCTTTGTCTCTCTGGATTATAAAGTGGGGCCTGAGCCTGAGCTTCTTCCCTAGGAAGGGTTGCAAAGAATAGCTCTGAATGGCCATGGCTTAACACACCTGGGCTTTCCATCTCAGATCTGATGCTAGGTAGAGCCATGCCTATGCCAGAGGTTATAACAGCCTTCTCCTGGGGACCCTGGAGGTCAGCACCTAGGGACCCATCACTCAACAAGCAGTGGAGGTTTCCTTCTACCCCCTGTATTCAGTTCCTGGTTCAAGGATCCTGCCAAGGGCAGAGGGCAGAGCATGGACAGGTATGGAGAAGGATCCTGGGAAGAGCTTCTGGCGGGGGAAAGTCATTGGAAGAGACCAGGTTTCAGCTGCCTGCTGGCAGCATTTATGACTATGGGTAGGTAATTGCCTAACCCATTGGCGCTTCAACTTTGTTGGCTGTATAATATTTTCATCAGTTTGGTGGGATGATTGTACTTAGATCTCGTGTCGACCACTTCCTATGAGAATAAGCCACAAGTCAGCTTCACCATCTATAAATGGGGACAAGATGCTCCCCTTCAAGAGTTGGGGTGAGGGTTGGTGAAAGGATGGCTGCAAACAGCTCTCCACAAGGCTGGGAGGATTTGCCAACTCCGTGATGTGTGGACACCCAGTCTTGTGAGACCAAGCTCATTTTGTTTCAGTAATTGGGAGAGATTTGGACATGAATCCGAGTTTACCCACAGGGCACCCTGAAGGCACAAAAGGAAAAGGAGGTAGATCCTCTGTACCCATCAAGCCCCTTTTAATGTTCTGCTTTGGCCATCTTGAAGTTCTCCAAAGCTTTTTGAACAAGGGGTCCCTGAGAATGATGTCTTGGGTTCTTGTCCTCTAAATAGGTGAAGATATGCAGAAAGAACATAGTCGGGTTGTGAAATGAGTTTGTTGTCTTGGTGTGTCTGACGCCAAATCTCATGACTTTGAGATCCACAGGACTGGATTCAAACTAGTGGGGCCTAAGAATCCAGCCATCAGCCTTCCCAGGACCTGAGAAGTCTCAAAGTGGTGGGGAGATGTCTCAGGGACCTATATTCTCTTCTGGGTGTGTAGGCTTTCACTTGCGCTGTCTCCTCATAGGCGGAAGTCTGCTGGATAAACTCATTCAACTTCAGGGGAAAGATGATTGTGTGTAACTCAGGCTGACAGCCCTTGTTGGAAAGACAGACAGACTCTCTTCTTGTTCCTTTGTTTTAGCTTTACTGTACGGAAAGTAAAAGGCAAAGAGGTGAGTGGGAAGTGGACAGGATCTGGAATCTGGAAATAGAATCCCAAGGCCAGCTCTGCTATTTACTACACCGGTCCTTTGAACTCTGGAGTGTTTTTGTTTTTTTTTAATCAATAAAAGATTATGCAAACACAAACAATTCCCAAGAATGTGGTAGGATCAGATGAGCAGAAGTAACTGACAGCATGTAAGGAGCTCTAGAAACCTGGGTACTGTTTGTCACTATTATGATTGGCAGGTCCAATGTGCAAGGACATGGTCCTTCCAGAGAGGACACACAGGTCATGCAGAGACGTTGGCTCAGGGAAGCCACTTCAGGCAGACTCAAGGTAGAGTTGGCTCAGGTGTGACCGAAGTTGAGAAAGATGTGGGAAGGTTGGGGAGGCAATCAGGGGCTCGTTGCTCAAGGTGTCTCTACTGTGAGAGAGGCAAACTACCATTAGTAACAATCAACCCACCTAGGATGGAGCAGGGCAGAAGGGGCCCAACACTGACAAGGGTTTTCAGTGAGGACAAAAGCATTTAGGTACAAGTGCCATCTCCACTAATTGGTAAAGATTTGGGTACCCTCATGTTAGGGTGGGATGGGGTGGGATTTGAGAAGTAAAGAACTGAAGACAAGCCCCAGAGAAAGGCATTGTTCAGACCTCAGAGGCAGTGTTCTTATTTGGTTTGTTTTTAAAACTAGAAATTAAAAAAAAAAAATCAGATTTTGCTTCTAAGGCCCCAGGATTAGAATAACTCAGTGCTTTGAGTCTCTGGCTCGCAACGGGCTGGGGACTCACCGGAGCAGAAGTCCGTGGAGCTGAAAGGGGAGGGCAGGGTGAGGCCAGGGTGGGTCCCAGCCTGCACAGCAGAGGGTGAGTTCCTCGGGAGCCGGAAACCTTGTGTGGGTGGCGGCACCAAGGGGAGGAGGTGCCAAGAACAGCTGGGGAGGGAGAGCAGGTGGGTACGGCCCATCGCCATGAGAGGTGAGCCCACACAGGTGAGGCTTCAGCTGCAAGAGCCGGGTTCGGTGGCAGATCCCAGAAGGAAAAGCTGTCAGCCAAGTTTCTCAAACCAGGGTCCATAGGTTCTTCCGTGTCCATAGACGGATCCTGAGAGTCCATAGATGATGGTCCATGAGGATATTCAACCTTAGGCTTGACATGGTGATGGTGACCTAAAAAGAGTTTGTCAAGGCATATTCTAGGTTATCTGAGTCAGTGACCTTCTTTTGAGCAGTCACCCACAGGAGGACTCCATCCCACACCATGACCTCGTTTCCATATACTGCGGTACACACAAGACTGAAGTTCTGCCAGCCTAGACCAGGGCAGCTGGACCAGGTGTGAAAATACAGAAATAGTCCCGGGTAATTGTTAAATGACTGTGTTAGCTAGCTGCCACCACATCACCCCCCTCCAGACAAAGTCCTGGTGCTTCCTCTGGGATTTCCCTCAACCACTCAAAAAGCAAGTAACTAGAGAGGGGAGGCATTCATTTCCTGTGATACTGTAACAAATGACTGCAAACTTGGTGGTCTGAAACAGCAGAAATATATTCTTTCAGCTCTAGAGTCTGAAGAGTCTGTAGCCTGAAGTCTGTTCCACTGGGTCCAGCCAAACTATCAACAGGCCATGCTTCTGCATGGGTCAGATTTCCTTCACCTTTCTTTTGTAAGAATGCCTGTAGAACTGGGAGATGACTTGGCAAGTAAAGTTCTTGCTCCGTGAATGTGAGGACCAGGCTTAGGGTCCTACATACAATCCAGGTGCTCGTGGTAGCCTGCATATAGTCCCAGCATGCAAGAGGCAGAGACAGGGAATCTTTGGGTACTCTGGGTGGTTAGACTAGCTGAAATAGTGAGCGAATGACCATGCCTCAGTGTATTCAGTGGGAGGCAATTCAAGAAGACAACTGATGTCAACAGCAGTGCATACACGCACATGTATACCACACATACACTTGAGATACCCCATCCCCTATAGTCCAAAATAACCTAATATCCATCTCTTATTGCTCATTAATCACATGTGCAAAGACCCTTTTTTCCCTATAGAATAACATTGACATGGCCTAATAACCAAAACCTGGTATCTTTAGAAGCCATTATTCAGCCTACTAGACTGGTTGTCTCTCTCTGGTCTTGCCCCAAAGCTGATACCAGCTTCTATTTGGATCCGTCACACCTGCATATTTTGGTATACTCACACATGTGTACACATATGTCAACTCCACTGGATTTAGAGTCACCTAGGAGATTGGTGAGGCCCACTTCTGAATGTTTCTACAAGGATGATTTCAGAGAGAATTAGCCGAGGGGGATGCCCTCCCTTGAATGTGGGTGTCATCATCCTAGGTTGCGAGACAGGGTAAAAAGATGAAAAAATCTCTCCGTTTTATAGCCACCAAGAAGCAAAGCTTCCACCACACACTTCAGTAGCTGTGATGCTCTGCCCCAGTGCATGGGGTCAGATGACCATGGACTCAGGTCTCTGAAGCCATGAGCCAAAGTGAACTTTTCCTTCTGGAAAGTTGTCCTGTCAGGTGTTGATCACAGAGTTATAAAGTGATTAGCATAGCATGGCACATTCCTGAACCAATACTTACTCTGATACCATGTGAGACTTAACAATGTCCTGTGTACCATTCTGTTACGAAGTGCTTGTGACAGCCCACTGAGGTGATTTTATAGTCCACCACTGGGATGTGACCCAGTTGGTCTGCTGGCCTGACAGTGCCATGACTTCCCACTGGCTGTGGTGCTTTCTGTCTTTACCATGTTGACACTCAATCTAAATTACTTGAGACGGTGAGAAACAAGCAGGAGGACTTCACAGGCAAGCGAACGCAATGTCGAATGAGTGACTTCTCTGGACCTTCTATTTGGGTGGCATAAAGAGGCAGGAGAATTGAGAGTCTATACAAGACACCAGCAGTGGCATAACCACCGACAGATTCTGCTCTGTGTGGCCCTAATCACAGTCATATTCCATGCAGATTCAGTGCTTGCAATACAAGTGGCCCTGTCTGCCGCATCAAGTGAACGGGGTTTTGTCACGTTGGTGACACTTCCATTGCAAGTTTGCTTGGTTCCACAAGTTTGACTCTCAGGAGTTTTGAACAGTTCCTCGGACACATGCTAATTTTCAGGCGATGAGGTAAAACAAACAAACAAACAAACAAACAAACAAACAAACAAAACACTTGACTTTGACCGGGCCAGGGTGGTGATGAGGGAGAATACAGGTGTTTGGCTGTTGTTGTTTTTCTTGTTCTTGGAATTGAAGGAGGAATGTACGACACTTAGGCTTAGGAAACACTGCTGTCTTTGGAGGAGTGCAATGGAATGGACATGTGTGACAACCCGGGGAACAGATGAGAAAGTGCAGGGATGGTGGCCGGACTCACTGTGCTCCTGTTCTGGCCGAGGACTTGAGAAGGACTGAAGGTGGGTGGCAGGGAGGCCAAGGGGCTAGCCCTATGTGTTCAGAGCTGTCTCCACAAGAGGATAGCAAACCCAAGGGTTTTGGAGTCAAGTAGGAGTCAAGTAGGAGAAGCCCAAGGTGGGGCTGAGTCCTAACTCCTCCCAGAGGAAGACTTAACCCTCCCCTGGATAAATGAAAGCTGAAAGTCATAGGACCCTGTGCCTCACAGTGAGGCACAAGAAAGTACAGGCGAGTATATTTAGGTCTACGCAAAACACAGACCTTCTCTGATTCTTTAAACAAATTCCTCTGCGTTTGATGTGAGAGAAAACCAGAAACCTTCAAAGGTTCCTGTTCTGGTTTCATTTCTGTGGCTGTGATGGAAAAAAAAAAAGAACTCTGACCCAAAGCAACTTAGGTGAAGAAGAGATAGAGTCACCGAGGAAGAGGGACCCTCAACTGCGGGAATGATCTTAATTGATGATTGATATACAAGCAGGGCCCAGCCCACTGCGGGCGGTGCCATCCCCAGGCAGGCAGGCCTGGGCTGGAGAAGGTGAGCAAACCAGAGGGAACAAGCCTATAAGCGATGTTCCTCTGTGGGCTCGGCTTCAGGTCCTGCCTCAGGGTTCCTGCCTCGAGCCCCTGCCCTAGCTTCCTTCAGTGATGGCTTGACCTAGAACTTTCTTCCCTAAGTTGCTTTTTGTCAACTTTATTATTATTTTTTAAATCACAGTGACAGATGGGCAAGCTCCCAATGAAGAACTTTAGTGTGCTTTTGGGTTACATATACTCCAATTCACTACAGGGTGAAGTAGGAAGATGAGCAGAATAGGGATCAGCACACCTACTTGAGTTGCCAAGTTCAGCACTCACTCGTTTTTGACCCCCTTGTGTTCTCTCAGCCTGCATTTGTGTCCTTGTTTCTAAAGGAGGAATACACGCCTGCATCGACTCTATGACATGAAGATGAATTGAGACAATGTTGATGAACGAACATCGTGTCGATAAGTTGTAGAGTATAGAGCACCTTAGATATCTCCATGTGCTGGGCTGAAACAGAGTGAAATCCAGGAGACTGCCTGAGCTGCTTAATCGCTTCAGTTGGGCCTGTGTTTTAGGGTCTTGGTAATGATGCCATGGTTTCATTCCTGCAAAGCCATTGCCTGGCACACTCTCAGTGCTCCATAGATGCCAGCAGCTGTTAGCTTGCAAATTTTCTGATAGTGAAGTTGATTTTTTTTTTTTTGGTGGTGGTGGTGGTAGATGTTTTCTTTATTGTATTCATGCAATGGTTTTGAAGTTGGCAAACTTCATCACCTCTGGGCTGTCAATGGAAACTCCACATCCCTCTGGGAGTCCTTCCACGTTTGGTGCTAAAACAGGACAAGCAGAGCTATGTTCCAGAGCCAAACTGCACCACGCACCTGCCACCAGCTTCCTAAGACTGGCCTGACATCAGTGGGAGCCTCACCTGCATGAGAAGCGACCAGTCTTTTGTACTGCCCTGGACATTGCTGTCATCCGGAAGGCACTGGGGGCCCCAGGCCTCACCACCCCTGGTGGAAATCCTGGCAGAGCAACACGAGTCAAACAGGATCAGGCGGGGCCTGGCTTGGCCCAGAGGAACCATAGGCACTGGCTCAAGAAAGGTGGGGACAGGGAGTGCCTCCCATGACTCAACAGTGGGCAGGCTTCCCTCTGAACGGGGGCCAAAGATGCCTCCTGGGCACCTGGGTAAGAGGCAAAGAGTCCATGGGGTGGCAGAAGGGCCAGGTGCTGGGGGGAGGGTTGCTCCAGCTTCTCTCTCACCCCTGAGCCTTGACACATGTGGTTTCCTCTGCTTGATGTAGCTGACGATCTCCCTGGTGGGCACAACTTCTCTCTGAGCTCATTTTCCAAGGCCTAATTTAAGTCTGTGAGGAACTTTCCCAGGTACTTTCAGGTAGACAAAGTTCCTTTCCATAACACCCATACTGAAATATATGAATCTATATGTACCGTCTATCGAACACAGACATTTATACTCCATCTTAAATACCTCTTCCCAGTGTACACAATTTCTGCCTGAAGCATAAGCCAGGCATGCCATTTTAGTCATCCAGCAACAGTCTGTAACCCAGTGACCCCCTGCACACTGACCCTGTGAAGTGCTAGGTGTAGGATACAGGTCCTTCCTGTATGATCTTGCTTTTAGACACAGTTGAGTGGATCGAGGGTATGTGTGGGGGGGGGGACCAATCTCTAAATGATAGCTGACCTGTGATTTTGAGAGTCTCTCTCACTATTCTAAGAAACAGAGTTCTTTCTCTCAAGATGGCCAGAGTTGACTTCTGTGGTCAACAACCAAACTCCTCAAATGCAGAACTGCTCTTTAGGTGTTTTTGTGAGTGTGAAGCCAAGAAACTTTCCTAAGCTGTCTCAGATAACGTGATAAAGGCCAGATGAAACCAGCCTCTTATCAGCAATGATTTGGGCTGGATGACTCCTGCCCTAAGCAATAGGGACTAACGTGGAAGGTTAAGTACTACGGAAAGACCTGCTGCTGCTCTGTGCTTCTCAAGTCTGTCCCTCCGAGGAATGAGGAATGTATTCTCCCACCCACAAAGAGTCGGCCCTCAGCCCTCATCTTCGGGGGCTACCTTCAGTCTGTGTGGCCACGCTGAGGTCAGGGTCTCCCCGCCTCATTCACCAGCAGGCATGCTCCTCAGGTGCTGCGGGCAGACCAAATGAGACTCAGTGTTAGAAGTTGAGGCAAGAGTCTGGTTTTCGTGTGCAGAAGCATCTGGTAAGACACCAGACAGTTTGGCTGTAGGGAAATTCTGCTCTGTCCATTTTATGTCATTTCTGGAGAACTTTACGGGGGAAGAAATGCACCTTCCCAAGGTGTGACTGAGTGAGGCATAGAGCCTGGGGCCTGGGATGGAAACACCACCAAATGTTTGTGCGGGAGGAGAGGCCAGCCAGGCTTCTCAGCAGTCCAGAGAGGAGACAGCCCTCCCTTCACCCTGGGGCTGAAGGCAGCTTCTCCAGGAATAAGGAAATAAAATCAACCATGAGCGGCAGCCCTTCTCCTTGCTCCTGGAGTTATTTAGTGCGCCCCATCCCTATGTATCGACCCTATCAATAAACAGAATGGATGCCCACTGCAGATGCGCCTTCCCTGAAGGTACTACGGGGAAACGCCTACTCAATACGGAAAGACCAACCAAAGCATGACAAGGGCACTAAGTGATTTTAACGGGATCAAGTGACGTTTAAACAACCCAGGACATGGTCATGCCTTCTCTGCAAAGGCACAAATGAAGTGTCTAATAAAAAGAAAACAACCCACAATCCACCATTTATTTTCTTACTTATAGTCCTTGCAAGATCAATGATAAAACACAAGCTTTTACAACCCCAATATTTTACAAACTGCAACTATACTGAAAAAAGGAAGGTTTCTTTCCTTGCTAAAATGGTGTTTCATCCAATAACTACTGCAAGCCTCCTGGATTTCCATATTGCTAAGTGTTGCCAGGTGGAATGGACTGTTCATGTGTATGATTTCTTCAGCCTTCCCCTCTCTGAATGACACAAAGAGAACAACCTTTCTTTTACTATTGGAGCCAGTTTTTAGAGAGGGGGACAGACAGAGAAAGGCAGGCACAAAGAGAGTCATCTTATGCGTTTTAGCATGGGACATTGTGTGAGAGTAGGCTGAAACGAATTTGCCCTTCATACTGGAGGAAACTCACAGGTACAAATGCTCTTATCACATATGAAGCATCTACGCTGTCTTGCTAAATCTAACATCCCCGCCCCCCCCCCCCCCCCGCACCCCCGACATCTGACTTTTAGGGATTGCTTATTATCACAGGTTACATACTGTTCCTCTAACTCAAATGCATCACTTATTATCACAGGTCACACACTAGAGATATGATGATATGAAAAGTGAAAATGGGTACTCAAAGGTACACATGAAATTTTCATCACACCCTTCTGGGGTAGGTAACTCCAATCTCTCTGTCATGCACAGGGTAGATTCCACCCTGGACTTTGACTCAGTCTCTCTTGTGCACCTAGTGGTGCAAGCTCAATAGATATCCTTATCTACAAGTCACCCAAAGAAGGAGCTCACACTGAGGGACAGGAGGTCTGGACTCAGCGGCAAATCTGGTGTTGCAGGCATCAGCAGGAGGTGGTATTTGCTAGTCACATCCTTGAGTTCACACGCAGGGATTCATGTCTGCATCATAAGTGGTAAGGAGTGTAAAAACAACAGCAGCAAAGACAGACAAATCATCGGAGGTCATCCTAAAACTCATGTACATATGCCCATGGTCACAAGCAGCAGATTTCGTTCCCACCTCTTTTCAATGCAGATGAGAGGGTCCTCTGCCCAGCACCTGCCCACCCCTTTCTCCTTTTCTAACTAGTCCCAACTTGAACAGTTCCCCTTCCTCCAGGGACATAAGGAAGCTTACCGTAGGCATCTGCCCCATCCCAGCCTGAAGGTAGACTTACTGGCTACAAAGTGGCCTCACACCCTGTGCCACTGGCAGGATCTAGGTGAGCCCTGGGGGAAGGGGACTACGCCATCCTCTCCCAGAAGCAGTCTATCCAGAAGCGGCCTTCGCTCTCTGGATCCCATCACTGTGGCCTGTTCTGGATGTGCTCACAAAGTTACCAAATTAGAGTGAGACACTGAGCAGAGGAAGCCAAGAGAATCAGAGCAAAGCAGGGGGAAGCCCTGGAAGCCATCCACCTGGAAGGTGCTTTGGCAGACACTGTCCCTCCCCCCCAAGCTTTTCTCCCCATCTGCCATGTATTTGAGTCCTTTTATAGCTGGGCCCCTGGCCATCTAGAGTGAAGAGATCTCTTTGAAGTTTGGTGGTCCATGTAACTAAGCTCCGGCTAGTGAAATACAAGCAAAAATATCATGTGACAGCATCTAGGAGTCTTCTCTATAAGTCAGTTCAAGGACATCATCTGTACTCTTTCTTCTTTCTACTGCATGAAGGCGAGGGCTGGATCTCTAGCCTCTATCTTAGCCCACAGCGGCCATTTCCTGTTGCTTTAGGAAAGGGCAGAACAGGAGCTGGAAGGAGCCTGGAAGGTGAAAGGGTCTTCATATTTCACTGAGTACCGTTATTACAGAAACCCCAAACTTTGTCTCTAGCCTTGCATGTGTGGAAGAGAAACAGATGACGATTGAGTAACCTGTTTGTTACTTTCATCATTCCTATGACGTGATGCCTGACAGAAACAGCTTGAGGAAGGAGAGATTTACTTTTGCTCATGTCTGAGGAGACAGTCCATCCCCATGGGGATGGCTTGGAGGAGTAGCTGTGTGGCACCAGGAGCGTATAGTCTAGGTTTGGTTATAAGACGTGGACCAGGAAACAGAGCAGCCTGAAATCAGAAGTGGTTGAAAGCTTCAAAGGTCTGACCATGGTGGGTTGCCTCTGCCATCTAAACCCCATATCCCTAAGGTTTCCCAGCCTCCCAGAACAGCACAAAGAGCTAGGGCTAAGAGTTCAAACGTATGAGTCTGGGGGGGATGTTTCAGACTCAAGCCGTAAGAGAGACTGTTAGTTTGGGTGTGTTTCTTGCATCCTGTCTCAATCATGTGTTTTCTTATCTTCTGCTCTATCACCTGCCAGATAATAAATCATCTCATTGATTGGATTTTCTATTCACTAGCAGCCAAAATCATACTAACTAATGCATGGGATGAAGCAGTCTCCTCCACTGGGGTTTGAAATCCATGTAATAGTTTGATCTATCAAAGATGGCCACATTAGGATAGATATGATTTTAGCAAAGTTACCCAATAGAAGACAGCATTCCCCAATGGCAGTTAGCAGATGTCTGGATGAAAAACTAAGGAAGAAGGGTTGGGCATATAACTGTATGGTAGAACATTTGCCTAGCATGCCCAAGGCCCTAGATGCAACCCGCCAGCATTAAAATAATAACAACAAAACCAAAACAAATACCCCAACCCCCCGAAACCACCCAAAAAACAAAGTGCAAACCACAGAGTAATCAACGTGGCCACCAAGCAGATTGTGTGGGAGTTAATGCCAGGCACCCCCGAGTCTTCTAAAATATTCAAGAAATGTATTCCATTGACTAGATGGGATAAGAATGAATGGAATATGCTTTATCACCATTAAATTCAATTGTTTTCAAGAAGCAGTTGATGAGATTAAGGCTGAATTCCACACCAATGAGGAAATAAGCTCAGAAAGGCTGTACAGCATGCACAAGTTCACATAACAAGTTTCACAATTTGAATCAACACCAAATCCCAATAAAAGGATATTTCAGTGTCGTTTTGTTTTCTTAGTGAATGTTCCTGCCTTCCTCTAAACAAATACATCTTTGCTTTTTTGCCAAGAATGTTTTCTAGCAGTGGATGAGATGAAGTCATTGTTACAGTAACACCCACTTACCCAAGAAAACCTATTAGGAATGTTGGTACTCAGAAGTTCCCTTCTAAATATAAATTCTCAGATTCTATAATCCAATCCTTCACTTTTATGGTAAATTTAAAACTTTATTTTTGAAGCTTAGTCCACATATAAATTCAGCACAAATAAAAATACATGAAATTTAAGTTAATTCAGTCTTGGAATGATCTAACTAATTCTTATTGCTAGATTATTCCGTCTTAAAAAAATAATCTTCCCAGTTTGAACCAGTTGGCCTCATCTTTGGAGCACAAGTAAATCAGGAAACCTGGCAGAGAGAACACACACATTTTTCCAAGGATGGGTCAGAAAATGTGTGACTTTCCCCCCCTCGAGCTATTGGCTCACTCACTGCAAAGAGAAAATCCTCTGGAGACTCCAAAAGCACCACTGAATAACATCCTAAGCTTGAGTGTTTATCCAAACTCTGTCAAAGCCAGGCCAGAAAGCGACTCTTCTAAGTGAGGTTGCCAGCATTTGCTGTCTTCATAGGATTGGACTGTCTCAAGAAGAGTGTATTTATGACTGGGACCAGCTGGGTCTAACTGGGGAATGCTGGGAAAGTGGAAAGCAAGCAAAGAGGGAAGAGTGTATGCTGTTTGGAGCTGCAGGAGAAACGATGCTCATATCAGCTGCTGAACACAAAGTTGACTTGTCCCTCCCTTTAATTTCCTGGAAACAAGTCCCAAGAGGTTTATCCTTTCTGCTTTTGGTAGGGCTTCAGAGACGAGACCTGTAGGGCTGTACTCCTGCTATCACTGTTGTTGGCTCCCAAACAAACCCACGCAGTAGCTTAGGGCCATGGTATGCTGTGTATCTGTCTCAGCCATTGCTAAACGGCTGTGTGTCAACTAGCTGGAGGAAGCCACAAAGCAACCTACAGTAAATAATAGTTGGATTATGAATCATTTTCCCCTGAGCCACATAGGGCTATCCTCAGTCATTTCAAAGAAGTGGACAATAAACCTATTTGGAGAAAAGGATTCTGAAGAGCCACTAAAGAATGTTAACCTAACTCTGTGGTAACAAAGCGCCCATCTTATGCAGCTTCCTTCTTGTGTGTGCTTGTGTGGCACAGGGCAAAGAGTGAAACAGTATTTACCAGGCTCCCTTGCAGCTACAGCCCTGGCTATCACTTGGATTTTACTAAGTAGAATCACTGTTGAAAGATTTGAGGTGGATGGTGAGATGAATGCTGTTTGTCTCTTCTGTTATTGGTGTGAACCTGGGTTCCACTCACTGGGGAGGTTTGTGGCAGGGTTCAAGTCATCTATCTAATAAGTATGGATTGCTGTAGGCACAAGAGCTGGCAAGTCATGGTCTTCCTGATCATGGCACATTCCTGACCCTATCAGTGTTTTTTATGTCCTATTTACTCCATCTTTTTTTAAATTGTATTCATTTATTTTTATGTGTATGAGTGTTCTACCTACTTGTATGTCTATAAACTCTGTACATGCCTGGTGCCCTTAGAAACCAGAAAAGGGTATTGGATCACCTGGGACTAGAATTACAGATGGTTGTAAACCATGTGGTTGCTGGGAATCAAACCTTAATCTTTTGGAAATGCAGATAGTGCTCTTAACCTTTGAGCCAACTTTCCAGTCCTTATCCTACCTTTTTGTTGTTGTTTGAGACAAGTTCTCCTTATGTAGACTAGACTGGCCTTGAACTCACAGAGCTCCACCTGCCCCTGACTCCTGAGTGCTGGGATTAAAGGTGTGATAGTAAAGCATTTTTTAGAAACAATATCTATATGGAAGGAACTTGCAAATTCATCAAGTAGCTTCATAATTATGCAAGATTTACATGCAGTCCAATGTCCCTGTATTGCACTAAAACTCAGCTTTTCTAATAATCATTTGCCATTTCTTAATAATTCTGTACGCCATCAGATGTTTCCTAATACATCTGTCTGCTTTTTTTTTTTTAAATTGGACAATGTCTCATTATGTAGCGATGGTTGGCCTAGAGCTTGCTATGTAGATTAGGGTGGCCTTGAACTTCCTTCGTCTGCTTTGAACTGACTAGGGCACATGCTTACTTCGTTTCTGCACTTTACCCTGAGCCACATACCTCTTTACGGAAGTGCCCGCTTCTTCCAGTTTGGGCAGATGGGCGTCGGGTAGAGAGAATGAGGAGTGAGGATGGAGTAGAAACTGACCTAGAGGAAAGTTTTACCCTGCAGCCTATTTCTGAACTCAGGACCCATGAGGGGAGACAGAGGGAAAGCCAGGAAATGGTGCCAAGGTTCGAGTGAGGGAAAAGTTCCACTCGCTCTTGAATAGAGAAACCTAGATGAAGGCAGACTGAGGTCCGCAGGAGGGGAGTTGAGTTGAACGGTCCAGAGCTAAAGAAATTCAGAGTGTAGAGGGATGAGCAGATCAGCTTTGGACAAGTTCTTTGGGTTGCTATAGTCAACTGCTCCTTCAGAATTAGGTCAAAATGGACTCAGACAACTTTAACAGCTGTCAACATGTGTGTCCAGAAAATCCAGCCTTTCTTCCAATACAGCAGATCCCCTTGGAAAGGCCAGGTAGCTCATGTCTCTTTAGGTCCCCTCGGGTCCCAGGGTCACTGCAATACCCATCTTGGCCCTCCCTTCTGTGACCCACTGTCCCAAGGTTTTGCCCTTCCCACCTTTCTCTTCTTGAAGGGCCCATTGAAGACACCATCTAGCTGATGGGACAGAAACAGCATGATGGCTCATGGCAGAAAGCCACAGGGTGGATAGGAGTCCTTTTCTTAAAATCTCTTGGCCATTGTAGCCCTCAAAGAATTTTCTCTGGTCTCTGCTGTGGTCTGCATGGCTCCAGGGATTGACCTAACCAGAGTGGGGAGGGAATGAAGAAAAAAACACACACACCATCACATGGACATAGAAACATTGGGAGCGGGTAGGCTAGGCTATTGGATGGAGAAGCCATAGCACCCAAAAGCTCAACATGCTTATTACATGCAATTAAACAGAGAAGCAGGGGTAATGTATACAGTTGAACAAGGAGAAGTTATTACAAAGCTAAGAACAAGTAGGGAGAGTTATTATACACAGCTGATCAAGGAGACGGGTTTGGCTAATCTCGGTAGGATCTGTTTCTGCTGAGGAATTGTCTTCAGGTCATGACCTCTGAGGAGAGAAAACAATGGAGGACATTTTCTGTAGACTTCGTCAACATTCGCACCTAGACCCGAGGAGGCTTTATCACCCCTCTGAGCTTCACCCTGTGGGGAGGGAAGACTTTGTCACTCCCATAGGTCTGGCCCTGCTTGTATCAGACAGCACACACCGACTGGAGACTTTACATTCTCCCTACAGGTCTCTGTACTACTTGTGTTCCTGACTTAATCAACCATGTAATCAAGACCCTCCTCAGTCTCTGCTGCCAGGCTCATCGCGGTGAATCCCTTTTGGTTTGGGGTTTTGTTTGTTTGTTTGTTTTGGAGAAGTTTACATTTTTTCTTCCTCTTCACCCAGAATAATCTGCCCAGATGGTGCCTTCATTAAGCAAAATGGTCCATTAAGTCCCTTTGTCCCCTCAGCCACTCTCTGCCATTTTCTCATCAATCAGAGTAGAACACAGGTTTTCATTTGTATAGAAGCATGAGATGTGATACCCAGAGCTCAGATGGAGGGTGACTGTCTGTCAGCTTTCCGTCATTGTAACAAAATACCCACGCGAATTCCTTACCTGGGGAAAGATTCATTTGACTCACAGTTTCAGTTCATGGTTGCCTGGCTGACTCTCTTTAGGCCTCTAGCGTGGCAAAATGTCATGGGTGGAAAAAAGCAGCTGGCCTTATGGTGACCTGTGTGGGGCGTTTACCCACCACCCCCACAGCTTCCCAGAGTTTTCTTGAGTGCGAGCAGCAGGAAATATTAGATAGAAGGATTTATAG